GGGTTGCAGGTGCCACGCGGCTGCCGGGCACGAGATCCGAGCGGGGCTGGGGGCAGGGCCCGGGCTGGCAGGGCCTTGTCCGTGCCAGGGGTGGGGGTGGGCAGTCAGGGCCCCCCGGCTGGGCAGGGGTCCCGGGGGAGCAGGCCCAGCGCCCTGCCAAGCTGGAAGCAGCCAGCTGGAAACTTAATTCGGCGTCCCCCGGGCTGTGGGGTGGGGTGGGGGGGGGTGACCCAGATCCATGGACGCCTGCCACACCGGCGCTGCAGGACATCCGGGCGGCTTAGCAGGGGGCTCCTGACCCCGCAGGCCGGGGGTCATGGGCTGGCGGGTCCCCCCCGAAGCTGCGTGAGCCCCAGATCAGTCCTCCCTCATCTTTTCCTGGCCCTGCTGGGGTGGAAGATACTGAAACCAGGCACCCACCATCCTGCACTTGGCCCTGGGGCAAGGCCCTGTCCTTCCAGGCCCCTCCTGGAGAGTCTCACTGAGTGCGGGCTGGTTTTGGGCCCATTGTGCAGGTAGGAAAACTGAGGCTGATGGGACCTGGAGGCTGGCGTCAGGGACAGCAGCACAGATAAAGACCCCAGCTCCACTGGGGACAGGATTGGTGACGGCATCTCAGGCAGAGTACAGAGACCCGGGCACAGAGCATAGGGGTACGTGTGTGCATGTGCATAAGACAGCATGTGAGAGCGTGCAGGTGTGTCTGCTAAGGTGTGTGTGCAAGCTCATGCCTGTGCATACATGCTAGGGTGTGTACCCTTGCATGCGTGTTAGGGTTTGTGTGTGTGTGTGTGTGTGTGTGTGTGTGTGCCTGCCCATGTGCACATGCTAAGGTTTGTGGTTGCGTGAAGGCCTGTGGGTGGGGGCTAGGGTGTGTGTTTGTGTGTGTGTGTATGCATGCACTTGTGTGCATGCCTGTGCATACATGGTAGGCAGTGTGTGTGTGTCTGTCCATGCGCACTTGTGCCTGTGCATACATGCTAGGCCTTGTCTGTGTGTGTGTATGTATGTGTGCACGTGCACTTGTGCCTGTACATATGTGCTAGGGTGTGCATGTGTGCGCACACCCGTGGCTGTGCATACATGCTAGGGTGTGTGTATGTGTGTGCATGTGTGTGTGCATGTGTGCATGCACTTGAGGCTGTGCATGTATGCTAGGGTGTGTGCGTGCATGTGTGTTTGCACTCATGGCTGTGCATACATGCTACGGGGTGTGTGTGTTTGTGTGTGTGTGTGCGTGCACGTGCACTTGTGACTGTGCATACATGCTAGGGGGCTGTGTGTGCGTGTATGTTTGCACTCGTGGCTGCGCATACATGCTAGGGGGTGTCTGTGTGCATGCATGTGTTCATGTGTGTGTGTGCACGTGTGGCTGTGCATACATGAGAGAGAGCCACGTGTGTATGCATGCATGTGCTTGTTTGTGTGCATGCGCGCACACTTTTTGTGCCTGTGTAAATGTGCTAGGCCTTGTGTGTGCCCATGTGCCTGTGCACCCGTGCTCGGCCGTGCGTGTGCGCGTGCCCGTGCTCGGCCCCTCCCTCGGGGCTGAGACCGGCCAACTCGTGCCAGGCGGCCCGGGCAGGGAGGGGAGGGCGCTGCAGCTCCAGCTCCGCCCGGCCCCGGCCCCGGCTCCATGGACAGGCGGCGCAGCGGGGAGTGCAGGGGTCCTGCACCGCCTGCCCGGGCTGGGCAAGGGCGAGGACAAGGGCAATCCAGCCCCTGACCCCAGGGGGAGTTGGGGCTGGGGCTGGGGCAAGAGCCCCGCGCGGTGCCCGGGGCTGGGGCTGGCCCTGCGCGCACCCAGCTGTGGGCTGCAGGGGGGGACCGCAGGGAGGGGCAGATGGGAGTTATTTTCCCCGTTGCCGTGGTGACGATGGAAAAAGCGCGTGTCCCCATGGCGTGGGGCTGGGCTGGCGCCGGCGCAGCTCTCCCGGGCCAAGCCCTGCCTCCTCCGGCACCGCCCTGGCTCCCCGACCCCTGCTCCTGGACTGCCGGGCGGGAGAAGGGGCTGACGGTGCCCGTGCCCCCACAGAGCATGGCGGGGACGCTGCCCCCCCACATCGACCTCCGGGAGCCGCGATGGGACCAGAGCACCTTCGCCGGGCGCGCCCGGCACTTCTTCATGGTCACCGACCCCCGCAACCTGCTGCTGTCGGGCGCCACGCTGGAGGAAGCCCGCCGGCTGGTCCAGGATTACAGGTGCCCTCCCCCCGGGGGCAAGGGATGGGGACCGCGGTCCTCTGGATCGCTGGGTGGGGGGAACTGCCCCCTGCCCTGGTGTAGACGGGCCTCTGTGCCCTGCCCCTTGCCCTGGTGTGGACAGGCCCCCACCCTGCCCCCTGCCCTGGCATAGGGGGGCCCCCACACCTTGCCTCCTGTCCTGGTGTAGACAGGCCTCTGCGCCCTGCCCTCTGCCCTGGCATAGACGGACCCCCAGCCTACCCCCTGCCCTGGTGTAGACAGGTCTTTGCCCCCTCCCCTGGCATAGACAGGCCTCCACACCCTGTCCCCTGCCTTGTCATAGACAGGCCCCCACACCTTGCCCCTGCCCTGGTGTAGACAGGCCTCCATGCCCTGACCCCTTTCGTGTGCTCTGGTCCCCGCAGGGCCGGGAAGGTGTCCGCGGGCGTGACCGAGGACCAGCTGTGGCGAGCGAAGTACATCTACGACTCGGCTTTCCACCCCGACACGGGCGAGAAGATGGTGCTGGTGGGGCGCATGTCGGCGCAGGTGCCCATGAACATGACCATCACGGGCTGCATGCTCACCTTCTACAGGCACGTGTGCCCCCTGCCAGCTTCTCCTGCCCTGGACCCCCCCTTGCCTGCCTGGTGGGATCCCCTCTGCACCCTGTCCCCGGCCAGGCCTCCCCCTCCTCCCAGCCCGTGCCCTGACCACTCTCTGTACTCGCAGGACCACGCCGGCAGTGCTCTTCTGGCAGTGGGTGAACCAGTCATTCAACGCCATCGTGAACTACACCAACCGCAGTGGCGATGCCCCCATCACCACTGGGTAAGGGACCTCAGCGCCCATGGGCAGCTGGCAGGGGTGCGGGGCTGCTCCCAGCATGGGGGCACTGATGCCCTTGGCTGCAGGCAGCCCTGGCACTGCTCTGGGTTGGGGGCACAGAGCCCTAGCCCCTGCCCATCACCGGCTCCTGTTCCTCCTGCAGGCAGCTGGGCACGGCCTACGTGAGTGCCACCACGGGTGCGGTGGTGACGGCGCTGGGGCTCAAGTCCCTCACCAAGGTAGGGGAGCTGCCCCGGGGCAGACAGGGCCCTCGCGGAGCCTGCCTGGGCTGGGAGCGGGCAGGGACCAGGCAGCTGCTTGCCTTGGCCGGCGATGCCACACTGCCGTGCCCCCAGAGACAGCCCTGGTGCCTCAGGTGCCTCGCTGCAGATCTGGCTGGGGGTAGCTGGGGACCGAGTTGGGGCCCTGCGGCACCCAGCTCTGCGCAAGGCTCTGACGCAGCACTAGCCCCATTTTACAGACGAAGAACTGAGGCCGGGGAGGTGCTGAGGTCACTCAGAGCCAGGGAGGGTGGTCAGGTCTCCAGGCCCCTGGTTTAAATCACTAGGCACCACCCCCTGTCCTCACACGCCTCCTCCCCCCGTCTCTCCAGCACTTGCCGCCCATCATAGGCCGCTTTGTGCCCTTTGCGGCCGTGGCTGCCGCGAACTGCATCAACATCCCCTTGATGAGGCAGAGGTAAGCCCCCCGTGCCCAGCCCCTGCTCCTTCCTGACCCCCGCGGAGGCAGCCCTGGAGCATGCAGGTGGCTCAGCAGCCTGGCGGTCCCCACCTCATCCCATCGGTGTGACCAGCCCCGGTCTGTCCCTCGCAGGGAGCTCAAGCTGGGGATCCCTATCCTGGATGAGGACGGGAACCGGCTGGGGGAGTCGCGGGCCGCTGCCCGCCAGGCGATC